AGAACTTCCATTGGATTATTAATGAGTGAATACAGAGAATTTACAAGGACATAATAAGGTATCAGAGTGTGTGTATGCTAAACTAACTGGCATCATACTTAAGTAGTTTGCTTTTGTGTAATATGTACGCAAGGGTGTACTGGGACTGAAATTCAGCTTTGACTTTGAGATGGAGAGGCCTGTTTTTTTGCGAGCGCCCTTTGGGGGTGCTGATAAATATATACAGTGAATCAGATTATGCTGAAGACTTTCAATTTTAGAATAACACAGCTTCCCCTGTGCTTTTACTGATTGTACAGCTACATACAAGAAAAGAACATCAGTAATAAATATGACAATAATACATTTTCTAATTCTATCCATGCATAATATGATTGCCTACCAGCCCAGTACACTGTCCCTGTACCTGTCACTGTTTTGTCTGGTTCCATTGACCTCCTCATCCTCTTCCTGCTGCTCCTCCCGTTCCTTCTCTCCCTCCTCATCAACATGACTGGGGTCATCATCACCCTGCATCACCTCTACTTACCTTAACAGCTAATATACATACAAACATACAAAGATTCCCCACTTGTAGAACAATGTTTGTGTGATAACACATTGTTGTTTATGATATATATAATATAGCCTATTTGTCTATACATAAATGCATATATAAATCATTTAGGTATATAATAAATGCATTACTTATCATGCACCTGTCTCTGTGCTGGGTCCTGCCTCACCTGAGCTTGACACATCACCTTTCCACGAAGGAAGAGGTCGGCTAATTTGGTGCATTTAGTTGCCTCTTGTTTTTTTCTACTTAATTCTTTTTGGCACCACACATTTATTTTTCCTCTCTTTCTTTTGGACATACCATCTCTGTTGCAATTGTCACTTCACCTTGGGTGTGTTCAACCCCAACAAAACGTTCTGAGATTGAACTTGTCTTGGCTGGAAAGTGAACTCCTTTGATCGGCGCGTTGAGCCAATCAGATTTCAGTAAAAAGATTTTCAGCTGGTTCGGCTTGAAATGGATCAGCCGTTCGGGAATCTTCCCGAACCCTCCCGATGGCCTATCCGACCCTGTCTGTACAACCTGCTGACAAACAGTCAATATCTTGTAAAAGGCCAGTGTTTGCCTGATATATGTCTATCTTTAGTTTGTTACAGACAAGACATATGTAATTACTGCATTTCTATTGTCACAATATCTAGCACCTTGTATTTGCAGAACTTAAAATATGAAAGTTGTTGTGGCTGTAAAGCTACCAGAACATGATGGACAAACATCCATTTGGATTCTAAACAAACAACAAAAACCAGTGAAAACAGAGTACACAATAAATCATTAAATATTTTCTTTTTTGCTATATTTAAAAATTGTACTTTAAATAAACTGTCACTGTAAAAACAAATATCCTTTCGACATTTTAAATTATCATAATCTGCTTATATGATTCAGAAACTCCTCTCAGAATCCTCTCTTTCCCACTCTCCCTCCTCTACCTCCCTTTTCGTAGAGGACTTTTCTGCCTGCTTTGAGAAGAATGTTGATGATGGTTCCCAGTCGCTCTTTAATCATTTCCCATGCCTTTTTCCTCTCCAATTCCCACTGATTCTTCCACAGAAACTCTTCTCTGCCAGCAGAGTGAAAAGACAACTGTTGACCTTAACCTTTGCTCCTAACCTTTTCTTACAACACCAATCAGATCTTTTTTCTTTCAGACTTTTTATTATATTTTGTTTTAATTACTTTGTATTTTATTTGTTTTATTCTTATTGCTCCATTCCTTGTGATGATATGTCAACAATCAGCAGGAAAACCTACAGGACAGCCAGCCCTTTGTTGCACTGAGATAAAATTAAATAAGTAAAATCCATTATGCATAAATCATCAGTTTAAAAAAAAAAACGGTAAGGCTTTTCAAAGGCTGTGTATCTTTGAAAAGTTGACATTTCAATTTTTTCTGTTGTGCCAGTATGAGAATACATAAATGCACACTTATGAAAGGTTTGGTTTAAAGTTGTAATCCTTTAGATTTCAGCCCAGGTTGATTTGGTGTGGTTTACTACTACAGCAAACACTCCTGGACCAGCTATTTTCAGAAATACGACAAAAGAGCAACTGGTGTATCTTTAACAAAGAAGTCAGTCAAAAATAATTGAGTTGATTTCCTGCAGAGTTTGGAGTTGGTTATCATGCTTCCAAATTGGAGGAAGCTTGCTGTGGCTGCTTCTTCTTGTTCCATTAATCTCTCAAAATATTTATAACTGGTCTGCTGTCAAAAAATGTCCTAAATGACTGTTGTCTTGTTCTGTAGATGCATTTTTAATGAACAATCTCAGTTAGTGCTAACCAATGTAACTTATTTGCCTTTCCTGTGGCTTCTTTACAATAAAAGCCACCTTGTTTGTGTGTGAAGGGAACAATAGGAAATGTTCTGTTAGCATTATGTTACGACCCCTCCCCCATTCCGGCTTCCTTCTCCTGCAGGAGGCTGCAGGCAGGGAGGCTGATTGGGCTGGGCAATCACCTGTGCAGTGCTACCTTCAGAGCTTATTTAGCCAGGGCTGATCAGTCTTTTGTCACTCTCCTCTTAGGCTGATGTCCTACTGGGTTTGTCTTGTGTTTCTTCTTTTGTTAATCCTGACAACATACACATCTCACTCATCCATTCACTGAAGACACAACTGATAGTCATACTTTGCCACACCACATATTATTGCTGATCATTTGATTCTTTTACTTTTATAATAAATCATACTATTGGCTTGCAAACCTGTTGTGTCTTAACTCCTTTTTGCCACGGGCTAAGAGCTGGCTTGTGAAATTAGCACTAACTTAATGCAGCTCTGATACGACTATGGAGAGTTAACCGTGAGGCCGATGTCAGTGAGGCAAAATTATAAACAGTGAGGCTGGAGTACGTGTATAGTTTCCTGTGAATCACTTGTGCGTAGGCAGCCAATTTGAATCTTGGTAGGAAGGACTCTTAAGCGGACTTATGTTGAATGTTAAATTATCAATACATTTGGCTACTGCTGAATACAAATGCCAAAGGAAATGTTTAAAATGGTGTTTGATTTCATCAAAACCTTAAGGGGTCCTCCCCAAAAAACAATAATTTTGTCCAGTCCAGTCATTTTTGAATCAGATTTGGCACTGGTACCACAGCTAGCTTCTCTCATTGACCAGGATTAAAAGAGCTGCTAACTCTGGTTGATTAATGTTAACATTACTGTAGCTAGCTAGCCTAGCAAAAATGTCGGATGACTCTGTAAGTTTTATAACATAGTATAGCAACATAGAAAGTGTAACTGTAATTCGACACTGCAACAAAGACTACATGATGCCTCTGAAAGCATCAGGTGAACAAATGAACATTCACATAAAAAGCAGCTTTTTTAGTGACAGTATGTGAGCGCAAAGACACACCCGAGCAGCAGGTATCCTAAAATGCTTTATTTACCTCGCTGTGTCGTGGCAGTGCAGCAGACAAAAACAGGTGCAAACAAGGAATGGAATTTACATGAAGCAGCAGCATGAAAGTGACAGCTGTAGAATGGAGTTTAATTTATTAGTGCATTCCTCAAGTGGAATAGATTTGATTGACGACGCTCTGAAAAGTGAAAAACGGATGCGCTGAATTACAGACAGTAAAAGTGAGTGGGTCCAGTAACACTGGTCTTTAAAAGTGGGTGGGTCTTGTCCCACCCACATACAATGGTTCCAACGCCCATGTAATGTTAGCTTTTAGACACATCAACGCTGTGTGGGGTGAATTCACTTAGGCCAGACTGAGTTCATCTGTAGGCTGTGATTAAAATGCTATCCAGCTGCTCATGTAAATGTGTGATAAAGTAATACCATGTCTAATTCCTCTCTGTCTTACATAAGTTGCATGTCCAAAGAATGCTATTTAATTACACTTATTACTGTTACTACACTGGCGATTGGTAGTTTGACTTGCATACAAGCATACATATGTAAGCTGTTAAGGATCCTATTTAAAGTGGCTACTGTCTGAATTTAATAACCTGATGGTGGAAGGAATAAATGATTTGGAGTAATGATTACTATGTGTATGGATACATGTACAGTATGTATGATTGTTTTTATTTTATCACTGTGGCGTTTCATACGGATGCTGAAGGGTAACTTTAGCGTCAAATAATTACGCTTCGTCACACTGTTTGAAAGCGTTGGTAATGACGCACTGAGATGAGAACGCGTTGATATATCCTAGACATTTAGGCAACGCAGAAAGTTAAGTGGGTCAGAATATAGCAAATATAATAAATGTCATGAATGGTGCCTAGACCTGCCAACAAATGTCTGTTAGAAGAAAACAAAACAGCCCACATTTCCACATTTCCAACCTGTAGACCACTACTGACCTCAGAATCAGCTGCCCTGCCAATCTCCCGCTTCTCTCTCTCCTAAAATATCTTCAATATCCATCTGGTCAATGAATGGAAGGATATACAACAGCATTAGCAGGGACACTATGACATTTAGTTTTCACTGACAACATTCTATGGGGACTGATATTGTTTTGAAATAGACTACTAGAGACAGGCAATATTAATGACTAAAATATCCCCCTACCTTTACCTCAAGTAAACGTAGCTTCAGTTTAGCAAGTAACAGTCACTAACTACAACTTACACTTTCACTCTGTATCACTCACTATGTTGAATCAATCTTTCTTCACCATGTCTGTGTGTCTCTGTGTCTCTCTCTGTGGTTAGTTGCTCTGCAGCTTGAAAGGCTGGACAGGGTCCTAGTGCCCAACCTCAGCAGGGATTTAAGTTTTGAAGCAGAGGAAACAACCAGAAGAAAAAATATTTTATTATTAATTATTTTAAAAAAAATCTAAATCTAATAATTGTTTTTCTTATTATTAACTGGGGGGGCTTCGAACCTTGTTAGGGTGGCTTCAGCCCCCCTAAAATAGGCCTAACGACGTCCATGTCATTAACGTTTACTGAAAAAGTCTTTGTGTCTTTTTCAGATTGTCCTTCCTGCCAAACCGGAGCTACAGCGACAATGGACGGACAATACTAGGCAATGAGCAGGAGTCCCAGGACTCTCTCGGACCACTATGAGGATGACTTGACAGAGCTGTGACATTGTCAGCGGGTGCGGGGGACCTCTGAGTTTGTTTAGAGACAAAGACTTCTTGGCCTCTGTTATCTCAACAGTCTACCGTGAACTGACCTGAGATGTATATGAGAATATTGCCTCACCTGGACATTCACTCTATGACATTCTTTATGCTGTCCAGGATAATCTAAACGTTAGAGGTACTATTGCTGGGCATCAGACACGTGCAGAAAGTCTTGCTCTTGGTGACTACAAAAGATACTAAATGACGCATATTGATGCAGAATTCAAGTATCTACTCATTGTAAAACCCAAAAAACTGTTCTTTTCAGTCGAACGTCTGGATCACAGGATGTGAAGATCAAGTCAGCTACAGTTCTCAGAAAATGACAGTAAGACTACAAGTTAAACTCTGGCTAACATGATGGTGGAATCAAGAGGCCTCTACTGCTTTTTAACCTCTATGCTGACATTTCATCATAGCTTAAAACTGACATTCTTTGGTGGCATGTTGTGAAGGAGAAACGAGTTATAACAGAGTTGACTGCCAGCTGGTCACAGGGGTGATTGCCGGTCTTATTAAAGTTCAGTTTATTGCACAGCAGTTTGTATTCTTGCCTTTTACCAGCATCGCTGCCACTCTGAAACAGCTGGATGTAATGTTATGTCAAAAGTGAACATTTTTATTTCATATTCAGTTTTAAAAACACCAAAGGCTGAGGATGCGATGAAATACAGCATTATAAAAACTGTTAAATCATTCACCATTGTGATGAAACACATGCCTAAATCCTTCATGGCACATAAAATATTGTTGCACTTACCTCTGTGGGTTGAACGTTTCTGTTGCATCTCTGTCCACACGCCCAAAAGGGATGTTGTTTGGTTTTATAGTCTAGCTCTACATGTAGATCACTGTAGCAAATTGGATTGGTCAGATAAAAATCGAGTGTAATGAGCCGCCTTTTCTTTAAATTGAGATAATATGTACGGGTTGTTTTATATTCCCACCATGAAAGAATTATAATTATGGAGGAGATACCTTGAAACTTTCTTTCTCTTGTTCATCCCCCTCTATGAAAACCTGCAGCTGGATGGAAGCTGCTGGAAACAGCCATGACAAGGCTGAAGAGACAACCTGTTCGGGTATCAGAGTTTGTCCCAAACTCAAACACAGAACAAGTAGGCGGGACAGATATAGTCTCTTAGAATTTAGTAAACAAAAGGAGAAACCTAACTTACAGCAGAGTCCAAAAATTCTACAAAGCAGATGGCAACGAGCAGGGCGGGACCAAGACCAGGTGGTGGACATGAGGAAATCAGACAGACTCACACACAGGCAAGTTGACATGAAACAGAACCAAACCAAGGCAAACACAGATCAGAATAATGAATATAACAAACTAATCAAGAACACAAGCAGACAGACCATAACCAGATATATTATGAAACAGGCAGATGCAACAAACCAAGACAGGGCAAGAACAATAAGACAAGTCTAAACTAAACAGAATAGCAAACAGGGGGATTGCACGCAAGATGTCAGCAACTAATCAAACAGGAACTGGACAGATATGAGACAGGACAGGTACTCAAACTCAAACTTGTTTCAAACTGAATATGTCTTGATAACATTCAATATTTATGATTAAATAAGCAACAAATTTAAAGTTTGGGAAAAAACTGAACAAGTATAGTATGTATACTTATTTATTAAGAATTTAACACTTAACAACTCATCTGCTTCATTAGGACTGTGTATGTGTGGTCTAATCGCGCTTGTTTCCCTGGCAACATGAACAAACAACCCATCAGCTGTCATCTGATTTTGGAATGAAATATTGCTAGACTCTGATTGGTACATGGAAGTGTGTGACATGTCGGTTTTCCAATTGAGCCCCACCCACCTCTAACCAGTAAGAAGAGCACAGACACTACAATTTCTCATTTTACCATATGGGAAATTATTTATTTTAAAATTTTGAAATCAGTAAAAAAAAACATTTTATCCTGAAAACTCATCACATTTTGTTGATTTTTTTCCCTTTTTCAATCATCATGAATATCGAAACAACTTTATTGGATAAGGCTTGTGATATTCAAAATTTTTCTTATTGGTAACATATCATGTGAAAAAAATGAAGCAAGAATCTCTCTGCCTCACAATACTTTCTGACTTCACTATGTCTGTTCCTATTGACTGGCTCACAAATGTATACAATAGCTTCATTTTCAAAAAAAGGCTCAATGATGCCCTAATATAGGTGATCACTGTAATTTTTAGCAAATGCAAAAACAGGAGTATACTGTGAATATATACACACATACATACGTACATTTCACTCTTTGGATATACATGCAATATTATTAGTAGGATCAATTCAATATATATTGAATATATATAACATTGAATATATAGAATATTCAATATCCAGACCTATCCTTTAACTTACAAAACATTGTAAGTCAGAATTGCATTCACTGTACACAATAATACATTAGGTGTATTTACTTTTTTCACATTTAGAACTCCATAAAAACCATTCAATATACCGGTAACAAACTACAAATGAAAATATAAAAAAACTAATGTAATAAGTATGGTCCTAAAGTTCTTCTATTATTGTTTTGCATATATTTCCCTTAAACCACTAACTTCAATATTTTTTTCTCTGCTACATTGTCCAGTTGATAGCATTGTGACATGATCCTTTGATGGTGGATGACTAAACTGTAAGCTTCACGTTTTTTGCCAGCAACACATAATTTACATTTTAGGACATTGTCATCAATCTTTTTAAAGAGTGTTGAAATAAAAACAAGAATATTTGATTTTGCACTGACACGTGTTCTTCTGCACATGTAATATGTGTTGTTCTCTCCATAGAGAACCAGAAAATGAGAAATCAGAACATTTTAACAAACAATATGAATATTTTCCTCATTAGACATTTTAAGCACATTCAGGCCAAGGTGACTATTAAGGTCTGATGCCACTCAAATGAAGAATAAGAGACTAAGAGAGAAATAAGTCTGTGTCTTTGAGTTGCTTAAAAGATTCTGTTTCTGGCCACCTGGTGACAAAAGCAAGATATTCACTCTCCTTTTAGCTTTGATTTGGTCACTATTTTCCAAACCAGCCACCTGTTTTGACTTTCTGGCATTTTGTGTTGGGCACGTAGCATTTTCTCAGCATGTTTGAGCTAGTTTGCTTGCAACAGCCACCTACGTGGGGGCCTGTGAGAGCAAGGGCTTGGAAAAACAAAAATAATGAGTAAAAAGCAGCTGAATATTGATAAAATCACTATAGAGCTGCAGAATCTGTTGTTTTTCTAGGTGGGTTTGGCAGCACCTGGTGACCTTGTCACATTACTCAGTCATTTGGTTCAAAGGTAGATTCAAGAATGCCTGTAGATTTAACTCTCCTCCAATGTTTGATGCTCAGTTTACATATCTGAACTCCATCTGTCTAATCTATCTATCGACACATGGAGGTGTGAAACCAACTCAGCCGCCTACTTTCTGTCATCACTGATTTATAGATTCTGCAATTATGCCTTAGAAAACAACATTTAACTCATCATTTTTCCTTTTAACTTCAGTGCAAAACCTCTAAGGCCTGCTTCAAAGATGAAGAGATAAATGAATGTCTTATTATAATGTGACAACTTTTAACAGTCCACTGTGTTTTTTTTTTTATCTTTATTGTGTGTGATGGAAATAAAATAAAGAGAGAATTTAACAATTATTTGGAAACTGGTTCATTTATGGGCCATTTTTATTTTTTACATCATATTTTAGAGATTTTAGTTTCTAACATGTAAAATAGAAATACCCAAAAGGAAACAGAAATTTCAGATCTATCAAATGTGTCAAATCTTTTGAGCCATACAAAATTTCTCCTTCCAGCATTGTGTAGTTATGGCTCCTTAAACCTGCGTACATGTATTCATTTACCTGGAAATATCAGGCTCTTTAGCTGCTTAATGCTAATGTCCATCAGCTAGTCTCTTACTTTGTCTGTCATTTGGTGCTGGGCAGGTAGCGACCAGTCGGTTTGTCAGAGCTTTTTTACTGAAAACAGTGCTGATGGTAGCAGTGGGAACCAAAACAGAGAAGCTGCTGGCCAGAAAAACAAAACAATGCTGCCTGAAACAATCCAAAGAGCTGAGCTGAGTGGTATTTCTCTGCGGGTTTAAAATACAAGCGACCCCTCTCACATTACACAGTCACTTGATCCATTGTTGATATAAAAGTATGTAAGAGCAACTTTAAAGTTTATTTTCATTTTAAAAGGGACAGTTCACCCAAAAACACATTAAAAGGAATGAAGGCTTTCTTGAAAAGCAGTTTGAAAATGAATCAGAAAGTTCACTTACTGACTTTTCGGCCCCATCTCGTGGCCTTCACCAGTAGATGAAGATGGTTTAATCTCCATGGAAACTAGAATGTAAGAATGTTTTTATCAAACAAAACTTGAGCAGTTCTCAGTTGTATTTTACCAGTACGCAGTGGAGCTCGACTGCATTTTTGAATTTGATGCCGTTTAGCCCTCCAAAAAATTAATTTGAAAAACAGCAGCATCTTTTTCCAAATGCACAACAGTTAAAATTCTTCGGGAACAGTCCAAAATTTACTTTGTGGTCACCTGGAGGGGCCCAATCTCTATTTTGAGAACTGCCCAGCAACTGTCAAATATGGTGAAAACTCACATCTTGTCAACAGATTCTTTTTAAGCAACTGCATATTTCACTATTTTAGGAGGGTGGATGACTATTCATCACTTGAGCTCTGTGACTTCAGCAATACAACATGAGCATCAAGCACAGACCAATATTAGCCTGTTCTGTGTGGGTCATAAATGCATTTTAACAAGTCTTTATTAATGTTGACGGTGGCAGGCGGCAATTACACACAAAGCCCCTCGTCAGGAAGCCTATTTGGTAACGGCAAATATGATTATCCCCAATCATTCCCTCTGCCACTAAAAACAATTTTTGGTTGATTGGTGCTGACCCCCGAGTCTGCTGGCCATTAACCAATCATGGAAAATCCAGAGGAGGAATTCATTATTCTGTGAGCCCTCTCAAAACTCACTGACTCCAACTCAATCTCTCTGGGCTTATAAACTGTATAAAGTAAGAAGATCTCAAGGCTTTGTCTCATAGCACAGCAGTGCCAGACCTGGACCTGGGTTTTTTAAAAAGCATCTAGCTCTAATATTAGTATGAAGTTAACACAGGACCACAGAATTATGTTTAGCTCCATGAGACACCTTTCCAGTATTTTATCCTTCTATGGGCCACTAGAAATTAGTCATGTTAGTTTTTGTTGAATCCAGCCTAATCTGTTTTTCTAACAGATATGTGCGTTGAAAAAAAAAACTATTCGCTCTAGGATTTAAAATGTAATTTTTTTAAATAAAGCCCTCCTGGGGATTTATTACTGATCTCCTTCCATGTGGTGGTAAGAGGTCAGCTCAACTTCAAAGCTGTAACCGTGAGCCTAGCTGTTCTCGGGATGGTTCTCACAGAAATGCTCAGGGAAGTGGCTGTGAGCTGCTCTTTAATGGATATGGTTAACATTTTCCAGACCAACCAGTCAGTCTTCATTCTTGAATCTTTCCCCCCCGTCAAACCGAAAAAATACTGTTTGAAAACACTTCTGCTCAACCATACTTCTGATCTGACATTAGTGGCACTTGGTCCAGCTACATTTTCTAGTGCAGCTTCTATGCAAGCCATATCTGGTTCTTTACTGCCTCCCAAATGCCACAATGCGCATAGTCCACACTAAAAAACAAACAAAAATATTTTTTAGTTAGATGTTAGAAAACAAGGATGAACACTGACTGACTGGCTTTTCATTTAGTTAACTTCCCCCCCTCCCCTAAAGAGCATGAGCAAGAGGATAAGACAGTCCTAAATGAAGAATGAAGAACAGGTATGTATTATATCTGGGCTATAGCCTGCCTGCCTGGTGGGAGACACCAGAGTTCATCAGTCCCACAGAGGTCCAAGTGAAAGAATGTCTTTAGACTTTGTTTTGAAAATTTAAAATAGGTGTATCCATGACAAAAAATCTTTGACAAGCTACATCATATGGTAACTTGTAGCTACAAAGAGATACTGGATGTTGCTTCCATTGATTTTATAAATAACACCAGGTGGGCAACTAGACACAACCAAGTCAACGCAATAAGCCATATGGAAAGAGCAATGAGACACACATATTGCTTGCAAATACTGCATAGCCATCTTGAAATAATGTAATTAGCACACAGTGCTAACAGTGAGTGTGTATGTGTGTGTTCAGTTATCAGACTGCAGAGAGAAAGACAGCAGCATCAGTTGCTGAAATGTAAATCGTCCCTGCTCCTCTCCTCACTACCACTAGATGTAGCTACAATACTAGCAACTAAAATTGGCTTTTGCTGTTGACCTCCTCCACAGGTGTGTTCAGTTTGACTGTGACTTCATATTGCGGAGGTTTTAGCATCAGGCCTTTTTCACAGACGTCACATTAGGAAAAGCATAGGTGTAAAGAATAAAATTAATGATGGCTGAATTCCATTTAGCTGCTTCAGTTTAAAGGTCCTTGTATTCATGCTGGCTCACTGTCACACTGTTAACACTTCTGGGACACTTGAATGGAACAATGCCATTGTTAATGTCATCACTAACATCTGTACTTTTCCTTCTATGAATCAAAACATCTCATGAAGCACATGGAAACAACTATGGAAATATTACAATTATATGACACATTCTGCTAGTGTAAAACCTAAACTGACATTTATATTTTTATTGTAGCACTGTTTTATCTTTTCTGCTGGTTTTATATGCTATGTGGCTGCCCTTTTCCTCACTGAATCATTTTATTGTTAAAATGTTTTTAAAATGTTATCAACACAAAAAATAGAAACAAGCAAACAGCTTTAAAAAAGGAGTCAGATATCTTCAGTTCATAATGCCAAAAGTGTATTCTTAGTGCACCTATGCACACATCAATGGCAAATGTTCCAGTCCTCCGACGTTCATCAGAGCTTACACATTCTTGGTTTTCAGGTCACTTGAATATATCTGCCCGCGACCCTGACGATGGTGCAATCAATGAGCCTTCAAGTCATTTCAGTAGAAAGAGGATCTTCTACAATTATTATTTGGTATTTACACCCTTCATAGCTGTCAGCAACTGTTCTAAGCTGTTAAAAAGATGTGTTAAAAGCATGCAACAGTCTGTACAATATGCTTTAGCCAAACAGCCAAGGTTTTTCATGCTGCCTGCAACTTTTTAACTAAAACATAATTATTACTTTAAGTCCTTGTGGAAGATGTTGTGAAATAACTGCACAACATCTTCCTGGAACATCCTTCTGAAACATCTTCCTAGAACAACGCACAGGAGTAGGCTGCATGGACATTAATCAAACTTTTACACACTCATCACTAAATTCAAACTTGTTTCAAGGAAACACATGGGTCATATGATGAGTAGGCTCCGTTATAAAGAGCCTGTGAGTTTCAGGGGGGGAAACATTGGCTGTTTCACTTCACTGATTTGCTCTGCTGAGTCAACAGAATGCCTTTTTATAGCTAACCACACTCAAACATCTTTTTTATTATTATATAGAAGTGATTAAAGTGGGCAACAACTTGACAGCAGGCATCATGTGTGCATGACTTTTCCAGTATCACAGCTAATCTTCTTTAAACATTTACGTTCCTTAAGTGGTTTACTCTCAACTCAAGGAGTTAATAAGTAGAATGAATAAACTCTTGAACCTTTAAGAAATGTTGGAGGTTAAGGCGACATATCGTGGGGTTATCAGGACTTTGGATCTCAAAAGGTCCTATCTGTGTTTGCAGATGGGCTGACAAATACAAACATTTTCCTAGCATATGGCAGGTTTCACAGGTTGTTTTCTTTAAAAGCTCAATACCTGCTACAGCCACAGACAGGCCTACTTGATATGTGTAATATCTCTGTGAAATATAAAAATGTAGTGCTTTAAAACATGCCAAATACAAACTGAATTCATAGACATCTGTTGGAATTATAGTGCAAGAGAAAGCCATTATATCGTTCATAATGTATACTATAATGTAACTGATTTGAATGCAAACATGCATGTTCATAAATGTGGTGCTGAACATAGAGTAGTACCTGCCATGTCACATGAGTGTTCAGCAAGTCTGACATCACTATCATTTTCTAGATTATAGAAGATACCAGTAATTCAAGTATTTTGGATTTTTTTTTAATCAGCCAAATATAAAACAATCCCACATATATGCATGAAGTGTTATTGTACAATTTGTTGTTGCTGTAGCTTTGAGGGAGAGTCACAGGTTAATACATTACCAATAGACAGCATCTAACGTAACCTCTGTGTCGACAAAAAAACAGACGAGGGTGAGCGGGAAGTCGTCCCAAGTTTAAACCAGTTCTCAACTCCATCCACCCAGTTCTCTAAAGACAACTGACACTCAGAAAATCAAGCCCAAAATTCTGTTTACAGTAACAGCCATTTTGTATTACAGAGGTAGTATAAGTAAGAAAGTACAATACAGAGTGCTTTTGTGTACTGGTAGTGTACTTAATAAAACAGATTAAGCCTGTTCTGCAAATAGTTAAGAAGAATTGTTCCCTAATGTTCCCATTGCAACTTGTTCCTTTTCTCCATCTGTTGGTCCAGAGCTGCTCAGAGTACATAGTTG